CCTGACCAAGCTAAATCTCTCTGACCTCTGCCTAGGTATTTCACAAACCTTTAATATTTCTTCTAGGTACTTTAAAAAACAAAAAAGAGTATCTTATATTGGGCTTTTAAATTATTTATTATGCAAGAAAAAAATATTGGTTTTAGAAAAATTTAACAAAAGAATGAGAATAATTAACATTCTAAAACACTTCAAAAAATCCATTCAAAAACCCCTGTTTAATGTCTTAAACAAGATAGCTCTTCCTCCTGAACTGCATTCTATGGATCCCTACATCTGATAGCTAGACAAATTTTATTCCATAATCTTGATATCCTGACAAGAGTTTTTTTTTTCTTTATAAGCCTTACAGGGCCAACTTATTAAGAGCACTTCCATAAAAATATTCTTATTTCTTGTTTAGCACCTTTGATACCACTTCTTTACAGGTACACATAAAAAGCTATTTAAAAAGTCATAAGAAGTTCTAAAGGGGAGAAACCTTCAGGAGGATTATAAAACTGCTTATGCTTGAAATCACACACCTGTCGATCCACCTCTGGAAGCAGTAAAAGCAGTCGCTGTTGGCAATCTCCAGGAAGGACTGAAAAAGTGTGTTTGTTGATCAGTGCTCGAAGATTTGTATTGACCAGAATGGAGTCTGGTGTCTCAACATCAATTTCAGCACATTTAGTCCTTTTCATTTGTCCTACAAAAATATGAAAAAGAATCATTTAGGCCTCTTTCACATTCCTGTTTCAATCTAAACTACAGCTTGCTCTGCAGTACAAAAAACCCCACAGTTTTAAGTACTTTAAATATCACACTGTGAAGAAGGTAACACTTAAGGTTCTTAGAAATTTATTCTATGACGAACAAAGCAAGTTTTGCTCATTCATGAAGGATAAACAAATATAACATCTTCTCTACAAAAACAGAATAAGGTTTGTAAAAGTGAACCTTTTGACAGACTAAAAGTGCATTTTATGTTTGAGACTTGATTATTTCCCGAACAGAAATGAGGAAGTTTACGATAAATGAGACATACACAAAATTTGACAAAAAAGAGAAAAGAAAAATTCAAATCTATATAGAAATCATACTGAGGCCCTTTTTCTCTTGAGAATTTTTTTCATCAATTTGAATTTGCATTGCCTAAGAAATCTGTTAACGATGAGGTTACAGTCTTTTAAAAGACTGACAGATTTGTGTACACAACCGTTTAAAATGTAATATATATATACATATATGTCTCCACACATACACAAGATTAACTTAGAATATTTGCAAGCCACAACAGAAGATAACTATTCATACTGAAAGTGAACTTATAAATCAGTATGAAAAAGACATATCACCAAGAAAAAAATGAACAAAGGAAACAGGCAATTCATAGTTGACTAACCATAAACAGATGCTGAGGTGTTAATATTTAAAGAAATATCTGTTAAACCGATGAACATTTTTGGTCTATCGAAATAGCAAATACTGCATTATAGTGATAGGACTATGCAGGGAAAAAGCAAAACCACTTTCAAATACACTGGTGGGGCCGAAATTAGTATAATCTTATTACGAGAAAATTTAACAATATACAGCAAAATTTTAATGTGCATAGGAATCTAGGACCTAGAAATTCTACATTTATAAATACTCGCACAAAGCTACAAAATCCTGAATGTGGGTAACCTCTGGCTCCTGCTCTAAGTACAAACAAAAGTAATCTCTCTAAAGAGAAAAAGATTTCCCTTAAATAAAGCGCACAGGATTCCTATAAATTGAAATTCAGCACTACCTCACAAAGATTACCCTGACAAACCAGAAGGTAGGTCACCATGACGAGTCAACAGAAACCAGAAAGAAAAGATTAAGACCTAGAACCACTGCTCTCACTGAAACTGACACATATATAGAATACAGAATAGCTACGTATAAAATGATTAAAGAATATAATTGTAAAGATGAGATAATTAGAAAATACAAAGGCTTGAAAAAAATGAGACTTCTACAAATATAGAATAAAAATTGTTGAAATCAGATAGTATGAATGCATTAAAGAGCAGTTTAAACACTGTTAAACAGGGAATTTTAACCTAAAATATACAGCCAAACAGTTTACCCAGAATACAAGAAAGACGTATAAGATTAAATATTTTGAAAGCTTTAGGAGAAACATAACTGATAGAATGAGGTCTAATATATGCTTTATTGAAGACCCAGGGGAAAAAAAGAGAATGGAAAAAAAGCAATATTTAAAAAACTGACAGTAGTGCATTTACCAGAACTGATGAAAACTACAAAACTAAAGATGTAAAAGCCTAACACATTCAACACAGGGTAAAAAGAAATCCATGCTTAGACCTAGCTTAGTAAACCACTCATGAAAGACCAAGAGAATAGCTTGAAAGCATCCATAAGGAAGTGAAAGATTTCATAAAAAGAAACAACAGAATAACAGCGAAGTTCTTAACAACAAAGAAATCCAGAACAAAGTGTTTAATAACTATAAAATGTTGAGAAAAAATAACCATCAACCTCTAATGGTATGTACACCAAACTCACCTTACAAATAAACATGAAACAAAGGGATTAGAGAGAAGCAAAAATTGAGAGCATTTACTACCAAGAGACCTGTTCTAAATAAAGTTCTTAAAAAATGATACCATGGGAAAGAAAATCATTACAGAAAGATGGGCTGGAATACAATGGAGAAAAGTAGATAAATCTACACCAACATTGTAGTATAAAACAATAATATTCTGTCTGATTTGTGGGGAAAAAAAAGCAAACAAAAAAACCCCTGAAATGTCAGATAATTTTATTTAAATCCAGACAGGAAAGATCAGTGCTAAATTGTTAGAATTTTTTTAATTAAAAAAAAAAAAGGAAATAAAAAAAGCAGGACAAAGGTCAGCAAAAAAAAAACCCCAAGACTGTAGAAATTATTTCAAATAGATTAACAATTATAATACATATAGATAAAACTCACCAAATGAAAGAGATAGTCCTATTGAATTAAAATTTTAAAAATACAGCTAGCAATATGCTCTGTAAAGAGACATACCTAAAGCACGAGGACACAGAGATAAACAAAGTAAAGGTATACTAGGCAAAAACTAACCATTGGAAAGCTGGTGTGTCTTTATTGATATCGAACAAAAGACATTTTTAGTAAAAAACTTAATCAGTGATTGATAAGGTAAATAAATAATGCTAGAGGTTAAATCCACCAGGAAGATTTTAAACACGAAATTATCTAATATAAGATAGCTTTAAAATATGTGAAATAAAAAATTATTCAAATGGACAAAGCCACCATTAGGATAGGAGATCTCAACAAAACTCTCTCAATTATTAAGAAATAACTATACCAAAAGCATCCCAAAGAAGAAGGAAATTAAAAAAAAGCTGAACTATTTTTCAGATTGACGAGCATGATCCAATAAACAAGAATTCTGTGTTTTACGACTAGAATACACTTATAAAATTCATTCAAAAAAGGTCTTAGTAAATTTAATATTAGTGGTAATAACAACAATGACCAATCACAGCAGCAGTAAAACACTTATACAGGGCTTCCTAAGTGCCAGGCACTAAACACTGACATGTATTAACTCATTTATTTTTTCACACAACCCGATGAAGCAGGAAACCATTTCAAGAATGAGGAAAATGAGGCCCAGATATAGTAACTTGCCCAACATTATACTATTAAGTTGCAGTAAAGGAATTTGTGGCTTCAGGATCTGTTATTTATCACTATACTATATAGGCACAGGTATCATACAGTGCATAATCTCTGATCACAAGAAATTTAAGTTAAAAATTGATAAAAACAAAAATACAAAAATCCCTATATATTTGGTAAAACAAATATTTAAAAGTGCAAAATAACTTCTGGGACAAAAGGGAAATCGCAATAAAAAAATATAAAAACTTTTCTAACCAAATAATAATAAAAGCAATACCTGAAAGATAAAGGTAAAGGTTGTTCCTATTGGAATAGTAAAAAAATGTATAAATGAGAAGCAAAGCTTTCTACATTCAAATCCTGGCTTCCTATCACAAATGACATTTTTAATTTGAAGAAATGAAATCACAATATACACACTAATCATATTTTTTCTTTCAATGCATATCTTGATCATCTTTCTAAACTACCGCCTACAAATTCACCTCTTTCTCTTAAAAAAGTTGCACCATATTACAACTTATGTACCAGGACTGGTTTAACTGGATCCCTACTGATGATCATATAGGTGGTTACCAGTTTTTTAGTTGTATACCGATTTGCAATGCCTCTATAGACCTGAAAGCAACATCCTAGTTTCCCTCTGTCATCTAACTGACAGTATGGGAGTGTCAGCATTCCTTGAATAGTTTTTACTATTTTCTGCATTCATGGTGTACCTTCACATTTGATTCAAACTTTAGTTAAATTTTAACTTAAGAGAAACTGAGACGTAGTTGTAAATTATTCTGGTAAACAGTGCTCTGAAAATACTTGTCTGTGGCTCGATTTTTAGAATTTAAAGTTTAAGTCTTAAAGTTGACCTTTTTTTTTTCAGTTTAGGTTGCCTTATTCTATTATATTATACTTGAAATGTGAGCTATGTTTATTCTTCTGACTGAATATAGGATGTAAAAATATATAACACAACTACTGATCTCACTGACTTTAAAACAAACTATACCAATGTTAACTAAAATAATTTCATGTAAATTACTAATTCAGTTTTATCACTTACATTTTACATAAAATGTACAGATTCTTCCATGTCTGGAAAGTACTCATTGTGGTAAAATGCTGTAAAATTTCCATAGCGTTTCTTTTAATGCATATTTGCATGAAAGAAGAACTTTCATTTATTTTTTGACCGTTAGGTCAAACTTAAATAAACCATGCCTTCTTTTTTTAATGGTTAATTTTTCCTAGTTTTGTATGGAAGTTTTTAATTCTCAGTACATAATTTCTCAATTTTGTACATCCACATTTCTACATTAATTGAATGAAGATACTGAAATTGGGACTTTAACTGAATCGAAGTTAAATATAGGTTCCAAAAGGAAAAACTTTTTCTGTTCATCGCCATGTCTCTCAGGCCCTAAACCTGGGTTTGGCATATTAGTGTATCTTTTGTAAATATCTGTTTAATAAATGCATATTTTTAATCTTTGGCAGTTGAACTGATGTTCAAAGGGTATACTCAGTATGACAGATAGTGTCTCTTAAGAAAAAGTATCCTAGTTTATAATGCCACCTAGAATCAAACCAGAAAGAAGTTGACAGAAAATACTATGAATTCTATTCTCAAACTTAATAGTTTGGAAGGGTCTGGAACAATAAATGAATATAGAATAATTTTCCCCTAGAATTTTGCCAGCAATGCTGCACATTCTTTGAGCTTCTATATTTCTGAGATGTCTGCCATCCTAATTCTTGAATCTTTGTATGTAAAGTATTTTTTTCTCTCTGGAGATTTTTTTGGAATCTTCTCATTATCCTGGGTGTTTTGAAATTCCAAAAGAATGTGCCTGGGAATAGATTTCTTTTCATTCATGTTTTGACACCAATTATGTACTTTCAGCCTGTAATCTATGGCTTTCAATTCTAAGAAATGTTCTTACATTACTTCTCTTATCTTTTATACCTCCCTTTCAATATCTGCTAGTCCTACTATTAAAGATATTAGACAGCCTAGATTGGTGTTCCAATTTTCTTACCTTCTCTCTTCTCTCCTTTTAAAACTCTCCTTTGATCTATGTTCTGGGAAATTTCATCACCTTTAACTTTATGTATCTCTATTAGAACATTTTATTTCTACTATCATGTTATTTAATACCCTATCTTCTGATTTTTTAACACGTATTCTGTTCTTTCATTGGTGCAATATCATCTTTCATTTCTTTTTGTGGATATTATAGTTTAAAAAGTTATTTGTTTTAAATTTTCTCCTTTCCGAATTGTCTCTGTTTCCTTGGAGTCTATATTTCAGATTTTGTCTCTTAAGATGGAAGTTTTCTTCTAAAATGATCCTTGGTAATCATAAGTAAAAGACAGGCACTTACTAGGCTGACTGCAAATTCTGAATGCATGGATGGGTCTCATAGGCTAATGAGCTCCACAGAAGTGTGATCAAGATGATCTCTGTTTAGTTGGGAATCTATAACTTTGCCTGCAGACTTTTTTTCTGAGTTTATTCAAATTTTTTAGGTACCAATCTACCAGTCTCCTGCTGGAGCATAGATGGGGAGGAAGAAAGAAGTAGTGGTGGTAGAAATATGCCTCATTAATACTGGAAACCAAGCAAGAGGATCATTATTCAGTATTTGTATTTTACTTGATTTCTCTAATTTCAGCACATTGCCTCACTGTCTGCCTTCATCTATGTGTATTATCTCTGAATTTGAAATCTGGATGGTTTCACTTCAAAATAAACCCCTGTCTCCTACTAGGGTGAGATATCAAATTGCTTCTTATTAACTTTCAAAGAAGGTCCTTCCTTTCAACCCTATGTCTCACCCTTCTCTGCTATGATACATGATAACTCCAATGCTGGAACTTTTCTGGTATTCTGCAGCCTTAGCTGGCTTGCTTATTACTGGCATCTGTTCCTTAGCTCTGTGAAAAACTCCATCCGGTTTTCATCTTTCAAAATGGTTGACACTGACTGCCCATCTGTCGTCTTTTTTTCACCCTTCTGGATTTAATCTTTTGTGTTTCCGTATTCTCATTTTAGTGAGGTTCAGAGGAAGCAGGAAAAAAGGTTCAGTTTGACATGTTTAATTATAAGCCCTTCTACTTTTCTGTACTGGTTAGAAATAAAATATAAATAATGCTGGACAAAGCAACCTATTGTCGGAAAAAGAAATAAACCACAAAATAGTTGATAACAGATCTTAATCTGAAATAAAGTATGATAAGAGAAAGATAAGAAGAACATGAAGACAGTCAAGACCTCATAGGAAGTAACAGTTAAGCGAAGCAGCTGATGAATTTCAGACACAGTTGATAAATTAAGGCATGAGAACTGACATGTTTGTAAATTAACTAACTTACTTGTGTGGAGTCTGTCAGATCTTTGGAATGACTTCTTCCCCAAGCCTAGCAAAGGATTTTCCACTTTAACTGAAGAAGAAAAGCTAGAGTTTGAGTTCTGAGGGCTGCTTGACTGTCCATCAGATTGTTTTCCTTCCCATATAGCTAGGGAAAAAATATATAAAAGACTGGTGACATTGAGGTTATAGAGAGAAATCAATGAATCAAACAATTAAATCATTCAATGTTAAGAGGAGTTATGTATGAGGCAATGTGACCTTGCAAATGTGCTTTGAGTCTGAGAACTAAGACTCAAAAAATAAAATAAAATCCCTTCCTTCCTGCCGGCACATTATTTGCTTCTAGCGGTAAACATCCTTCCTAATAAAAATGCAAAGTTCTGCAAGACAGTTTAAATCTGGCAGGCCCATATAATCAGCTGGTGTCAAACTGAGCTGTGTAATAAAACACAAAGTCTGTACCTAGATCAGTTTAGATTAAAAACAAAACAAGCAACTGCAACAAAAAATCCAAAGGTCTGCAGATATGTCCAATGGAAACTGAAAGGTAGCATGTACTCCTAGGAAAACCTTTCAAAGGAGAGAAGTGGTGAAGAGTTCAGTTTGAGCATCTTTTGTATCAGAAAACATCAGTTTTTTAAGGTTACTAATTAGAGGCTTCCAAATATTAGATAAGACATATTGGAAGTTAGTTACTGATCTCATTGTAACATACAAATCCCACTCATGTATTTTTTAATAACTGCATGATTATCTTGTATACATTATCCATTTACCCTGGAAGGATTTCTACTAATGATTTGGAGGCATGAGGATTATTTAAATGAATATAATAATTTAAAAATAAATGACAAAGTATAAAAATTGAAAAGTCAACACAAAAATATCAGAAAAAGAAACTTCCATTGAAAAGACACATAGTCTACCTACCAGGTTTGGCAGTTACAGAGTCACTGGCTGCTTTGACAGTCTTCAGAGAAAGATGTGGGGTGGAGGATATGGACATGCTTGGCCTGCATTGTTGCTGCTGCTGCTGCTTCTTCTGCTGTTGCTGTTTTAGAGCCTATAAAGAGAAAACTGACTATAAGAAACAAAACAAATCAGTTTTTAGTAATAACAAAAAGTAAATGATTTCTTTACAAGTGGTAAAGAGCATGCTGATCATCCAATTTCTCTGAAATCTATCAAAGTAAAAAAAAAACCCAAAAAACAAACAAACAAAAAACTAAATTAAACTGATTAAACACAAGGCCTAAATGATCCTCTTAAGAGTATGGATATTTTTTGCTAGTATTACTCCTTTATATAAATATGGAAATAGTCACTAACATTTTTTAGAGCTTAAAAATCACCAGTAAGCCATTGACTTTCCATACTTGTAGTTTCCAATCATTTCTAGAAATAGAATTATAGAACTTGAACCAAGAAGAATTCCATTTGCATCAACTCCATGTAGAAATGTAATATTTAGCTTATGTATGTTTCAGAGGTGCTTCATTTAAATGAAAGGTAATGAACAACTATTTGAGTTTGAACTTGTGTAAGAGCAGTAAGATTTGGCCCAATGACAAAAATCTCAGCAATTTAAAGCAATGCAGCAAATAGAAGAGAGAGAAGATTAGAAAATACTAGTTCTAAGAATAATGGGGTTCCTTCCTCCTGGCTATTTCCAAATGTTTTTATTTCTATGATGTTCTTAGTTTATAGAATACACCAAACTAAACCATTCAGAATGAACGGAAAGACAAATAACTTCCCAGATTTTAATCATGAAGCTATATAAAAGCAATTTTTTAACTTATGGTTTAAAAAAAAGACAAACTAAGAAAGTAAAGCTCCATTCCAGGAAAAAGTTAAAGTCTATGACCTTGCTAAATTGCCATTTTAAGCTTTAACCTTCAAGACTATCATGCAGAAAAGTGTGAAATAACTGGCTACTTGTTTCCCATGACCTCTTCACAATATAGTTTTCTCCTGCTTTATTTTCACACATATCTCTGGCTCTGCTAATAAAGACACAGTGGCAAGAGCTTGTCTCCTTTATCTGAACTGTCAATGGAGAAAAGAACTGAGAGAGCCAGGTATCTGGCTTACATTCCCTACAGCATTTATAATAGGTGAGGCAGAAGCACAGTGTGTGAAACAATGTCAGTGTTGTCTGATCATCGATTCTAGCTTATCTCTCACTCTTTGCAATCAGAACAGAAAACGTTCATAGGCTTCCTAGGCAGTACTCCCTGCTACTCACAGGATCCATGTCATTCTAGGTTAATGCAAAATTTCAATAGAACCATCTGATCTCATCTATTTCTTCTGTGATCATATAAATCCAGACACATGATGGAAATAGAATAACTTATAGTCTCTCTATTTAAGAACTGTACATATTCAGTTTTCCTTCCCTCAGTGGTCTATAAACCATGTTCCTAATTCTATTTTAAAATTTAAAAAACAAATGACGGCGACAAATCTTCATTGTGGAAAAGGATATCTTATATTTAAGTAATTTTTTTCTCACCTAATACTATGAAAACCATACACTGAAGGCAAGGCCTTACTTTACATACCAATAATCTAATTTACACAATTTCTAATATTGGTGTTCCCTAAAGAAAATAAATACATATGTCATGAATTGGCTAACAAGGTTTAGGAAAATATTTGCTTTTTCCCTGTGGAAAAAAAGCACCTTATACTTCCTAAAATCTTCCAAAAAACTTACAAAACTCTAAGTGTTACAGGATACCCAGGTAGGCAGTATTAATATTATCAAATTGGTGGATATCTTTTTTAAAAAGCACTTTTGGGATTTAAACACTTTAATACCTACATAATTTTGAAAATTTTAATTTGACCCCCTCCCCCTCAGTCTTGGTTCCCAATCCTCAGAAGTAATCAATCATCAATTTATTTTTCCTTGTTAAGCTTTTTTAACACTTACATTATATTGTGTTTGTATATACATGTTCATATTTCTATTAAAAAAATATAGTCTTATATTCTAGGAATGGTATCTGACCTACATGTCATAACACAACTTAATTTTAACAATTCAGCATTATAGTGTGACATTTCCATGTCTATACATACAGAACAACCTCATTACAAAGTAAACTTTTAATCTTGCATAACTGTCCAGCATTTAGATATGCCATTGTTTATTAAGGAATTCATTAATCAATATGTATTAGGCTTTTGCAAGCTTCTTGCTATTATAAACTTTAATGCAAATATTGTTCTGGGCTTTTATATATATATATGTATTTCTCTAACAGTTTCAAAATGTTCAAATGCTTAGCCATAAAGTATATGCATTTAAAATTTTAATAGATATTACAAAATTTCTCTCCAAAGTAACTATAACAATTTATATTTCACCAGCAAACCACCAGTAGCCATTTTCCCATATACTTGCCAATGCTTGACATAAGATTTGTATACTAAAAGTAGTCTATTATTGTTTCCTTAATTACTAGTGAGTTTACATTTACTGACCATTTGAATTTCAAAAAAAATCAAAAGCAGACAAACCACTGGCAAGTAGCAATGGGAAAAAATAAGATACATTACAAATAAACAAAATTGAAACAAAAAGAAAAGACAAAAGAATACTATGCACAACTTTAGACCAATATTGGAAAAAATCAGGTGAAATGGACCTTTTCTAAAAAAAGTAATCCAAAATAGCTCAAAAAGTAGAAAATCAAGAGACCAGTAAAGGTAGATAAAATAAAACTGAAATGCTAGGAAAACAATTTTAAAAGGTAAGATTTACAGAACTTTCAAGGAAAAAATAAATTCTACAAAACTTTCCAAAAATCTAGAAAAATACAGAGCTGCACGATTTATTTTATGATGCTAGAACAATCTTGGTTCCAAACTGTACATAGTACAAAAAGAAAGAAAAAGAAAAATCCAAGCTAAAATCTTTTTAAAAATTCCATAACATGTTTAAAAATATGTAACAAACATATAGTTTATTTTAGAGAGCTATATATAGATTAACATTAGAAAATCTAGGCATGGAATTCTATAGATTTAAAGAGAAAAGCTACCTAAATCATCTTAATAAATGCTGAAGAAAACAAACGTGAAAAATTCAATTCCTATTTATAATTTAAAAAACAAACACACAAACGAAAACCTCTTAGCAAATTAGAAACAAATTAATGTGATTAAAAAAACCAGCAACTGAGAGGTACATAAATTATTAAATCCAAATTGGGAAACTGAATAAAATTTCTCCTTTTTAAAAGGATATAATGTCCTTCTGTTCAAAAAATTTTCAATGGTTGCCAGAGTCTTGCATTTTTAATGTAGGAGATTAGACTTCTGATAAACACAAACTAGCATGATTACCTGCTTTAGTGCCTTCTTGCTGTGCTTCTGTGATGGAGAAATGACTTTACCTGCAGGAATGGTGGGTGACGGGCAGCCTGACTGGGGAGAGGATGGCTGTGACGGTCTAGACGATACTAGGGGGAAAAATGACAATGAAAAACTGTGTTATCAGAGTTGACATCACGCACCATTCCTTCCCCAATCGTATGCTGCTACCTGTATTAAGAACTGTGACCAAACACTTTTGGGAAGTATCTTCTTTTTGGAGTTCTACGGCAAACAGCCTCCCTTTTCAGTTTATTTCCTCAGAAAGCTCTAGTGAAGGATGATAGGATGGGGAAGGGATGGGTGTTAGTATTCATTACTTTTCATTCTTAAATTTTTCAAAAGAATTGACTGAAGAAGCGGGAAGGAGACTATAAACCATTAGTCATCAAATTAGATAAAACTTAGAAAAGAGTCTCAAGCCTGTTGGACAATATGTGTGTTCTTAAGGTAAATTGAATGACAATATGATAGAGTGGAAGGGCACTGGATTGATGAATGGGTCCCAGTTTTCCCTATCTAAAATAAAGGCAATAAGACCATTCCACCTCAAACACTCTACCATAGCTTTAATACTTATACTCCTTCATCTCTAAAATCAATAGTTTTAGGCCTACCAGTGTTAAGAGGGCACTTTAGGATTTCTCTAATGGAAGCAATGTAGTTTATAAAATATAACCACTCTCTACTTCATCACCAGCTGTTTTATACCCCAGAGCATAGCCAAATCTTAGTCTTACGTGGAGGGTCTTCCCCTTGAAGAGCCTATACCACTTATAATAAAAAGTAATTGATCTTTACGTTCTATAAAGTTTGTCAGTGTATTATTTATGACATAAACTGCTGATTCAGACTATTTAATAAAAATAATAGTCACTATTGCTAGTGATAACTTTGAAAACCCCATGTTTACTAATGCCTTCTCCTTTCATAGTAGTTGGACTGAAAATGGTTGGATAGCAAATGACATCCCATGGTATGGTTAAAGAGCTTTAAGATACCATATAAAGTATTTTGGTAGGCAGCTACCTAACATGAAAATGCAGAAACATTGTTCATTGGAATATACAAGTTTTGGAATACGGCATTTCAACTGACTCTTATATATCCCAAGAAAGGAATACACAGGAGATAATACTTAAAGGGGACAAGAGGAGGGGAACAAGAGCAGAAAATATTAAGAAAATGACTTAGCTACATGATTTTAGCTTTGGATCCCATCCCTTGTGATATGGTTTATACAGGAGAAAGAACTGATATACAATACATGTGAAAAAGAAAAAGTTCATTGTAATATATCACACAAAAATAAAGTTAAATAATTCTTGAGGTGGTTGAGCAATAAAAAGAAACCATATCCTCTACACTTAGATGCTGAACAGTTTTTTAAAATACCAGATTTACTGAGATATAATTTATATATGCCATACAATTCACCTAATGTGTAAAATTCAATGGCTTTTAATATATTTGCAAAGTTGTGCAACCATCACCACAAGTCAATTTTCATAACCCACTAAAAGCCCCTGTACTGGTTAGCTGTCACTCTTCTTCCCCCTAATCTATGCCCCTAGTCCCCAGCAATCACTAATCTACTTTTGTCTCCATGGATCTGACTATTCTGGACATTTCATATAAATGGAATCATACAATATGTGCTCTTTTGTGACTAGCTTTTTTTCACTTAGCATGTTTTGAAAGTTCATCCATGTTAGAGCATGTATCAAAACTTCATTCCTTTTTATCAACGAATATTATTCCATTGAATACATACACTTTTTTTGCCATTATGAACAATGACATGTATTCATTAATTGAATTTTTCTTGGAAGTATGTTTTCAATTCTCCTGGATTCAAATCTGAAAGTGGAATTGCTGGGTCTTACAGTAACTCTATGTTTAACTTTTTTGAGAGACTGCCAAACTGTTTTACAAAATAGCTACACCATTTTTTAATTCCACCAAGAATATATAAGACTTCTCTAATTACCCTACATCCTCGTCAACACTTGTTATTGTCTTTTTGCTTTGACCAATGTTTTTAAAGGGACATAACGAAAACAAAGTTTAAAACTATTAACTAGGTTTATTTTCTTTTTAATGGTTTGCATAAATCTGAGAATATACACTTCCTCACTTGCCTCAAATACTGTCTGAAAATAAATAGAAAACAAACCAAACCACCAAAATAACCTCATTAGAGAATGTAAAAATTCTACTTTGCAGCCTGAAAAAGAGACATTAAGCTATCTGTAATCACCAGGGCACACTGTTTGGAATGTTTCCCCTTAAGGCAAAAGCCCTTTCTAACAAATGCAATCACACACCTATCTCAAAGCCAACTGAACTAAATCATGCAGATTCCAGGATCCACCAATGAGGAACATTCATCCTCCAGAGTTGACTTAATGCTAAGTACTGGTCTCATAACTTCTATGAAACTTAAACTTTGTTCTAACTTTAAAATATTAAAGGCTCAGAACTACAAACAGCAAATAAGATTTAAACATATGTTGAGAAACATCTCTCTGAAAGTCCTTTAAAGGGCTACACTGTCTTCGAAGACACATAATTGTATTAGAGCAATAAAGAATTAAATATCTTCCATGTACCTAGCAATCTCTGCTAGCTAGGTTCTTTTGAACAGGATTTCACTGAACTCTTGTAACTACCCTCTAAGGTGGTTACACGTTTCCTTGCTACCCCACCAAACTCCTCTAATTCTACTCTCTGAAATAACTAAATAAAATATAGTTGGGCTGCCATCCATACTGATATTTCTCTATGCAAATAAAAATATGAAAAGATTTTTAACACGTATTTATAAATAAATAAAAAATACACATTCATGTGCATACTGTGATATTATCTATATTTTACGTATCAGGAAATTTAATTGGCTTGCCAAAGGACACACTTAGCAAGGAGCACGGCCAAGACTTAAACTTGGTATTTATTTTCAGAATGAGTGGGTACTTGTGGTGGACTGAATGGTGGCCACTAAAAAGTTATGTTCATGTCCTAAGCCCCAGAACCTATGAATGTTAGGTTATTTGGAAAAAGGGTCTTGGCAGATATAATTAAGGATCTTGAAAGGAGATCACCCTGGATTATCCTAGTGGGTCTTAATTCCAACGACAAATGTCCTGAGACACACAGAGTAGACACAGAGGAGAAGGTGATGTGAAAACAGAGTAATGTGGCCACAAGGCAAGTTAGTAACCACTAGAAGCTACAATATACAAGGAACACATTTCTCCCCTAAAGCCTCGGTAGGGAGTACAGCCGTGCTGACACCTTGACTTCAGACTTCTGGCCTAAAGAACTATGACAAAACAAATTTGTTGCTTTAAGGCACCTAGTTTGCGGTAATTCATTACAGCAGCCTCAGAAAACTACTATAGTACCTAAAACTGATTTTCTTTTTTAAAGTATTATCAACTTACAGATGTTTACATACTTGAAATGTTTGAATCGAAAGCAACCATTATAAATTTGGCACTCTAACTGTCCCCTTTTGGGATAGTGGGAGCTCCTTTGAGTTGTAAATCATCTTTGGGACATGGCCCCAGCAGCATCTGACTGCTTCCACATCTGACTGACACAGAAAGTGTCTCGGGCAAATTTTGTGTAATTTTTTTGCCCAGAACTGATCAGCTACTTTCCCAAGGAACTCTGATATCTTTTAATTGGAAAAAGTATTAAAATATCATGCCCTTCACGCTCATGGTTCTCATTGCTACTGGGGTTCCACAGGTTCTAGGACTTTTCGATGGTTGCAACAAGTCTCTTTTTAAGAGGAAAAAAATAAATACATGCATAGATACCAAAGTCAAATTAGGATTACATGATCGTCACTTAACTTTTCTGATTTTATATTTCTGTCACATTTCTTCTTCCCTGATAATCTTGGTTCCTAATAACATTACTGTAATTATTAATTTGCTATTATAGGTCTAGTTTCCAAAAACCCATGCTAAAGTAATTGCTGAAAATATGATACTGAATGCAGCTTAAGATTTGTGTCCCATCTCCCATACCTAAGAGATATCTCACAGTAACTTGCCTGTATCATTATGCAACAAACTTGACATATACTGAGTTTGCTTTGTTTCATATTCCTAGACTTTTAATAATTTGTTTTAATTATATAAAGCTATAAAAAAGTTTCTTTCATATAAGTCCAGCATCCTCCCTTGTCTACACTACTTTATCAACTCTCTTGTATTGGAGTTTTTTTTGTATTTTTATTTTAGTGAAAGCAGTGTGCATATGTGTGTATTTTTTAATACTTTCATTTTTTAAGCAAAAAATCATGTACTATAAACTACCAACTTTTTATTTAATATAATTACTATATCTGGAGAATTATCTTAGAACAGAATATAGAGATCTTCCACATTCCTTTTAACGGCTGCATAGAATTCTATCGTGCAGATATACCATAATTTCTTCAACCAGGCTTGGATGAGTATTTTGGTTCTTTCTGGTATTGATTTTTTTACTGCGACGTCTGAATCAGCAGTTCTTAAGATGTATTACCAAGAACAACACTATTACTACCAAAAAAAATCTGCTGGAAATGCAAATTACTGGATACCAGCCCAGATCTACTGAATCAGAGGCTCTGAAGGTGGAGCTCAAAAATCTGCATCATAAGCTCTCCAAGTGATTCTGAAGCATCTCAAGTTTGAGATGCACTGGTCTTAAGCTATGCTATGCTATTTTGTATTGCTGACAGTGTATCTGTGGGTTGACTCTTAGAAGTAGGTTTGCTAAATCAAAGGATAAAAATGCTTCCGGAAACAAAAGAAGCTTCACTATTCTCAGGTTTTAAAAGGAATTCACACATGTTTTCCTTTAGTATTTGGTTTCATGTTTTACATTTATTATATCTTTCATTCGTTTGGACTTTATCCTGGAGTACTGTGTGAGAAATCCACTTTCATCTTTTTGGCTATTCAGTTGTTGTAACATCTTTGCACATATCTTACACATATCTTACACAAAGGTCATGCTCTGAGTTTTTGCTGTTGATGTAGCTACTGCAAATGTGTTCTCTTTTTACATATATACATAGAGTATTATC